CTAACGGGTGATATTTCAGGCCCGCCCATGGGAACCAAGGTGGGAATTTTTGTGGCCCTTTATTTTATTAATACCGCAGGTATGTAGCTGGACTTAGACGCCCCCCCCCCCCCCCCCCCGCGCGCAAATACCTGCAATACGCTGAGAACATGACTTTGTTTTTGCCACCATCTAGGCGATATGTACTTCATGGGCCACAGTGCTACCAAGTTCTTTCGTCACTGGCCCGAGCTATCGAAAGAGTATGAGCTGATATCTATGAATAATGCCTGGATTGAGACCTTCAAGCATGTCGGCGAACGGATGATAACGCCACTAAAGGTTTCGGAGCGTTTGCGTCAGGCTGGTATGGATCCGAACACGCCACCCGGCGCTTTTCAGATGCGTCCGCTCATCTACCGGATGTATCTAAACGAAGTCCAGAGGCAAGGAATTCAAATACAATTCGGCCAGCGCGTCGTTGACTACTATGAGGATCAAGAACGTCAGAAGGCAGGCGTCGTGACGGACAAGGGCGAACGCTTCGAAGCCGACGTCGTAATCGCCGCGGACGGCGTAGGTTCTAAGGGCCAAAAGCTGGTAGGCGGGCAAGTGAGAGCGATGAGTGCCGGCAGAGCCATGTGGCGAGCAGCTTTCCCAATACACCACTTAGACAAGAACCCTAAGCTCAAGGAGTTTTTGAAAATGGGTGGACCGAACAACGACGAGCCAATGGTCAGAACATGGCTTGGGTATGTGGCGCTTCCATTGCTTCCCATGACGGACGTTGTTTGGCTAATAGTTGCAACTCGCTAGCCCCGGGATGTACGCTATGGTCCTGATTCGTCAGGAGACCTGCGTGTGGATTATGAACCACGATGTAGGTGATGATGCATGAAAGTAACGCTCAGCTCGGCGTGCTGATCAGGTACAGATTACCGGCTCCGAGGAAGAAAGCTGGACTCATACCGTCGAATCAGACGATGTATTAAATAACATCGACAAAGGGCTGGGCTCGCTCACGTGGGACCCTAGAATCAAGGAGCTCGTCAAGCTGACACCCTCCAAGACCATCGTCAACTTTGAACTATTCTGGCGCGATCCCCGACCGACTTGGGCTTCCCCAGGCGCCCGTGTGGTTCTTATTGGCGATGCTGCACATTCTTTCCTGCCCGCATCGGGCAACGGTGCTACGCAAGCCATCGAAGATGCCGTCTCGCTGGCTTCCTGCCTTCAGATTGGAGGAAAGCAAAACGTACCAGAAGCAGTAAGCACACATGTGCGTCTCCGCTTCATCCGATGTTCCTGCGCGCAGAAGATGGGATTCACCAACGCAGAGCTTCTCCAGCACACCGACTGGGAGAAAGTTAAGCTCAACCCAAAGCTAGCGCAGCCGAAGCTACCGAGATGGATCTGGAAGCATGACCCTGAGCAGTACGCATACGAGAACTACGAGAAGATGGCCGAAACTATTAGGAAGGGAATTCCTTTCGACCAAGTCGACACGGTACCGCCGAACTATCCGCCTGGCTATAAGTACCAGCCCTGGAACATCGATGACCTGCAGAAAGACGTGGAAAACTCTACGGTCAACATGGGTTCGGGAGACTGGGACTAGAAGAAAATCGTCGAGTTGTCTAGTAATTTGTGCTAACTGGGTGATAGATAGGCCTAGAACAAATTCCTTTGTCCCTCGGTTGTTTTCCATCCCATATGATCATTTCCGTCTTGTATGGTATCATCTTGCATTGTCTTGAGTATACGCGAATAGGCTTAGATGCGGAATATTTCTCGTCTAGAAGAGTAACTAAGTAGATTCAGTCAGTACCTTAGCTACTATTCCAAAACTCATATTCGTGAAAAGTAGTCTTGATAGTGGATAATTAAAGAGCATTCAAGTGAATACCCCTTATAACATAATATATGCCCAGAAGCTAGCTTGGATCCATAATGAAAAAGACGACCAACATGCTTCCAGAAAGTGAAGAAGCCCGGGTGAATCGTGCAGTAAAGAAAACCAGACTGGAATTGAGAGGGGCATTTTACATCAAATCGTCATAATAATATGGAGTAGGCTTCTAAAGCCTAAGTCTCCCTTCTTCGCCTTCAACTTCATCTTCATCTTCCGACTTTCCCCTCCAGCCGGGAAGCCCACGGAACGCAAACCAAGAAATAAATATGGTAGCACAGAGGAGAAACCATGAAGCTAAAAGAAGCCATCTACCAAGCTGCGACCGGTGACAGTTATCCACCCAGATAGACTTGGCTGAACGCGAATCCCCATGCATAGATAGTTTCGTTAGACCGCAGCTCCAACTTTCAAAATCCATCCAGTTATTACCGTACGGGGGATATGCTGTATGAGACGCTGTTACGTACAGGCTGTACGTATCCAGACGGTCGGTAATCCCATGCTCGATGAAGTTATAGAGGAGTGCCGTAGTAGTAAGAGTGATAGTCGGGATAAAGAGAGTAAGGAGAAGCCAGTGCTGCCAAAAGTTCTTTTATCGATGCATGTTAGCCCTCGTATCTGTCGGTGCATTACTAGGAGAGTGACAAACCTTCTTGACGTAAACGCTGGTAACGAAGAGGCCCATTATTAGAAAGCTGACAATAATATTCACCATAGACGCTGCGATAGCGAGCTGATGATGAGGGCCTCGGTACAAGAGAGTAGGTAGCCAAGATGTTTGGAGGCGTTCCTCTCCGAACCAGATATCAAATCCGCCTGACCAACTGGCGTCATGTTCTCTCATCCATTCTATCAAGTAGACATGTTGGGACAAGATATCTGCATAAAGCAAAACCGCGACGACGAGTGTAATAAAAAGAGTAATGCCGCCTGTCCAGGGGCGAAGGCGGGGAATCGGAATTTCGATCTTGTTCAAAGCCATGGCATCCTTATAGTCAATATATGGGGTCGATAAAATACCATAGATTTCCTGGGCGCTTTTTGCAAGCTCGAAAGGCCAAAGAGGTTTGTTTTTATCTCTCAGAATGCGGTACAGATGTGCTTCTTGGTTACTTGGCACAGCCACCATGATCTTCACTTGACTCCTCAGCACCGTATGTTTCGGCCAACCAGATATTGATAATCTGCCTGTCTTGTCGCAGCGAAACACGGTTAGGATTTAGGCAGCAGAATTCGACGACGAAGGTTAGCAAATAAATTAATTTACTTCTAGGTAAGTTAGATACATTTTTACAGGACTCCTAGAGTGTATCTCTCTTAAGCGTTCTCTACTCCTGGGGCGGCAGCAGCGAGTAATTTTCCAAAGTCAGGGGTACCTAATCCTGTAACAGGATCCCATCCCGCGGTGGCATTCCACCTTGCTCCGTTTCTGAAGGCCGAGTTACTCGAGCAACCGCTTCCGTAACCGGATGTTATATCTATCAGGGCGGCGCTGTTGTTGTACAACCACGGGTTGAGGAAGCCCAGTGGCGGCTGACCTTGGCTCTTTCGTGCGGCATTTAGGAGAGCTACCACACCGGCGAAGACGGGACTCGAAGCACTCGTACCCGATAGGAGCGCGGATCTGCCCTGGTCGATGACTACAAACCGACTCCCCTGAGCCGCAACATCGGGGAAGCCTCTGTTGGACGAGTTGAAGTACGCAGAATAGGTTTTACCTATTGATTTCAGGTACCCATTGACAGCGTTCGCCTGCCACGCCGGTTGGGCGTGAAGCGAGCTGAAGCCGCCGCTCGAAAAGCTCACACCCTGTTCGGGTGCAACGTTGTAAGTAGCACCGACAGAGGTCACGTACGGGCAGCCTGCGGGGAATGAGGGCTGGAAATACGGCGCTTGGTCCGATTCTCTTATGCACGAATCACCTGGTCCAGAGTCGCCGGACGAAAACAGCACGCTCACACCACGAGCGCCGAGTTGCATGAACATGTTACATACTTTTAGCGCATACTCTGCTGGTACCGACTGCTCCTCCTCCCCGTAGGAGGTGGAGAGTGTCTGCGGCAAAGCAGAATCGTCTTGATCGAGGAGGTACGTTAAGAACTCCAAATAAGGCTCGTTCGACGAGGGCCCAGGCTCGTCATGCGTAGGTTCAAGCGGTCTTCAATAAGCTGTCAGTTATGTTTAAACCACAGTTATAAAAATGGCTAACAACTCACCCACGACCACCGGTGCTGTATTCGCGGATCGGGATAGGGCTGCTGATGGCTAGTATGTATTGCACATCGAGGTTTGCCTCCCCTGCGTAGAAGTTTAGCAAATGTTCAGTCTGGCAATTTCTGACAAGGGCCGCAACATACCGCTATCGTCGCTGCTGTTCTGGTCATCTAGACCTCCATTGACCAACTCGACGCTGAAGTTCTGGCCCTTGGCCTGCGTCAAATACTGGCTCTCGAAGGACTGCAGATCCGAATACCGGGCGTATTCCTCCAAGTAAGAGCTGAATGCAACCACGTTTCCTTCGGTGGGCGCGGTGTACTTGATATTGTACAGTGACTTGAGACAGGCGGGCGTGATCCTCGAGGTGTTGCAGTCGGCGGCATCGATAGCCATGTCTGCCTTTACGGCAGCTTCTTCCTCGGGCTCGAGGAGCTGCATGTCAAAAATGGTTGACCTCTTGGCACCGAGCTGGCCGAATCGAGTGGTCGGCTGTATGAGATCAATGCTTCCTGCAAGCTCGTCGGGGACGCTGTACGACAACGTCCGCAACTTGGGACTGCCACCCTTCTCATATTGGTACCAGGCGAAGTTCGCGCCAAGAAGGTCATTTGCGGTTTTCACGTCCGTCTTGAAAGTGATCCAGTCGTTATTCACCGCGGACTCGACGCCGCTCTTGGTTAACCAATCGGCAACCGACGAGACAGACCTCTTCGTCGGTGCCGTATAGGCCCGGACTTCGTCACGCGATAGGTGCATGCCGTAGTTTGGATGCCCCGGCGTAGAAATCTCGATCACCGCTTGCTCCAGCGCGGCCGCATGCTGCTGCTTGAGACCAACGCGCAAGGTAACGGAGTCATCTGGAGAGGCCTGACGAACTTCTGCCCAGCCTTTAGGGACGGATTTCAGACTGTCCATCACCTTAGCCGTCGCGGCCGAGACGAAGAGGAGGAGAAGGGAACGCATGGTGAGAGTTTTTTCCTCCAAGGTTTGCACGGTGAGTCTTTCGTTGTGGCTTTCTTCCCTCCCTTACCAAATAAAGGTGAAGAACGAACGAGTCCCCTCTACTCCTCCGTGAGGGGAGCTGCGAGTAAATTAATAAACATTAACGTAGCAGTAAGTAAGTAAATCTCTACATATTGTAATTGCGTGCTATGCTATGCTCGACCAATTGATCATACCGTTGCATGGGTTCGACATCAAGGCATCTTCCCAACCATGCCGACTGGCTCGTAACCTGAGGTCCCCACCACTCGAGTTGTATCGACTTGCCAAGTCCGGGGTGATCTCCCGCCCATCCTCTGCGAATGCTACTCGACCTAGGCTATATTCGGCAGGAGGGTGGCATCTGAGTTATGCGCCCTAGATGTGATAGCCTGATAAGGTCCTCGTTACGAGAGATCTGATCTCATACCGGCATATTAACCCTTGGAATGTGGTTCTAAGGGCGGGTAGAGTGTGCAGATAGGGCTCGTTTGAGGTGATTTACAAGTATGCGGTGTTACATACCGGCCGACCTAGACCATATAATCAGCAGGGAATGGTTGTTCGACTTCGTATTTACTGCTAATGGAATAATCCGAGTAGTTGTTGATGGGAAGGTGATCGTGAAAGGAGCTAGGTAGACGTACCGACGTACCAACTTCATTTATCCGCTCTTCGATATGTTTGTTATTCATTCCAGCTGTGCTTTCAGCTGTCGTGTATACAATTACTATCGTATCTTATAATAATAGTACCTCTTTTGTTGCTTAACTACTCGAGGTTTCGATAGTTTACTAAAACGTGATATCTTAATAACGACTGAATATTTGACTCTATCAACCAAGCGTTTATATATCGCTTGCGCAATACTCATCGCATTATAACCGGGGTATCATAGGAAAATAACATCTCATATCTAGTGGATTTACAGCACCTTCCCGTTCTCATCTATCTTCCCGATAACACACTCAAAGAGTTTCGGTAGGAGTTCAGAAGCGTCTCCCTGGAAGAAGAAATCTTCCTCCAATAGGCCTTCTGCTGAGTCAGGGTCGGGATTCACTACCGCGATAATAGCCCCCTGTTCTACAGCCTGGTGCGCATAGCCTGCAGCAGGATAGACGACAGCCGCCGTTCCAATCACGAGCATAATATCGATACGCCCTTGACAGATCCAGCTGTCAACATCTGTGAGCATCTGTTCGTCGAGAGGTTCTTCAAACCAAACGACGCCGGGTCGAAGCATGCCCGTCTTGCAATTCGGACAATGCGGGAGATCCTCGACCTTAATGGGCGGTACGGGAACGTTAGGATCAAGTAAAGGAAGAGTCTGGCCAGGAGGGTAGTCCTCGGCGGCGGGAGCGAGAGCCGGGCACACGGGGTCGTTTAGATTATTCCGGTCGATGTAGTCGCAATCGTCGTTGAAGCACTTGTTATCAAGGATGCTCCCATGAAGGAGTCGAAGCTTAGATTCAGGATGTCCAGCGCGTGGCGACAAACCTAAGACAACGAGATCGTATCGTTAGAGGCTTACCGTGATACATTTTTATGATATAAAGCTTCGCCACGGTTGGGAATGTAGGCTTACCATCAACGTTCTGAGTCAAGCACAGGAAGTTGTCCTTCTTCTTGGCCAACTCGGCAAGGGCATAATGGCCACGGTTGGGATTCGCCTTTAGCGCCATATGCCTACGCCATGCGTAGAATAACCAAACAAGGACTGGGTCTTTCTTAAAGGCCGTCGGGGTGGCGAGGGAAGTGGACTCGTGATTGCGCCATAGACCGCCAGCACCACGAAAGGTTGGGAGTCCAGAGGCTGCTGATAGACCGGCACCGCAGAGGGCCAGGACCCTGTTGCTAGAACTTAAGAGCTGCTTGAACTCTTCGATAGATGTTAGCGGCGCCATGGTTTGCGCGTTCGTTGCGTGGTGAATCGTGAATCGTGAATCGTGAATCGTGAATCGTGAATCGTGAATCGTGAATCGTGAATCGTGAATCGTGAATCGTGAATCGTGAATTGGTGAATATAATTGCGCTACGTGCCGTATACTGATCTAAAGTAGGTACCTAGGTATTGTAACTTGGCGGCTACATTTTGTTTGCCTGTTGTCGACTGTTTACTTGCTACATGCTGACATATAATAGTTGAATTGGAAGTAGTTTCGATTTTAGAAGTTTACTGATAATGCATTTGTACCGGGCCCGTTTGTACATCTCTCTACATGTAGGAATAGGAACGTACCAACACCTCAATGTTGGAAGGAGGTACTTTAGGTAGGTAATTATACCTTTGGAAGTAGCTCTTGGATTGTGGGGTATTTACCTGTACAATATATTTGCTGCTGGGACGGTACTTACCTAACCTAGGTAATAGGTAATTCAATCTAACCTTCAACAACAAATAATCTCACAATAATCTCATATCGACGTATAGCTCTATTATTGAATATACATTAAATTACCTGTACCTTAGGTACCTATGTAGCTACCTTTTCAAACATCTCTCACGAGAACGCTTTATACCTCTTCCCAACAGCAGTACCGTTACCTACTCCCGCATCCGTATAAATTGATAAGATATCAGTCGAGTTACCGTAGTCCACTCCGCACCTCTCAGAAAACCCTTGGAACATATCGACTCGTTCTTCAAGATACTGTTCGAATCCCGCCCTCGAGCAAGTCGTACCCGGCCCATCGGCGCAGTTGGGCAATGGTTGAGGCGCACTATTCACGAGTATCCGATAGTAATCACCATCTTCGTAGCCATAACTGCCCGAACAATTCAGCTTCTCGATAGCCGCGTTGCTCAGAAAAGGCAATACGTGCGAGCTTTTCCACGCGCGCCGGTGGTTGATACGGTCTAGCGGCATCGTATCATTAATAGTGGCCTCGCCTCCGCTGAACTCGGAGTTGTTAAACAAACCCATGGCAACAAAGACCATAGGAGGCAACTCTCGATGAGTAAAGCTAACAAAGATGTCTTGCTTCCCAGACGATTCTTCCAGAAGTAGGCTTGCCGACGCATTAAGCCAAGGTAACCCTACGACGCCGGAGATCTGATTACCGTATCCCACGTTGTAGTGGTACATGATATCTGCCGTATATTCCCAGCCAAGCCAGTCGTCTGGCGTAAAGAGGCCCAGGTCGCAGAATGGAGAGCTGCCACGAATAACAGATTCGTACCCGCACAGTTCCATCATACCATACACGTCGTTGGCCGTGAAATTAAACCCGGGGGCTATCGTATTCAATCTTGCTATTATGGGCTTGGTGAACTTTTCGAGATAGACTGCTGATTGATCGCTGCCAAACGACGACGAGTAGGCCGGACAACTTTTGTACGGCGTGAGGCTGTTCGCGCCGGCTTCCTCAGATTCGTAAATGCTCACGACGTTGATTCCGTCCTCATTCAGCTCGAGGCTCCTCGCGAACGACTCGGCGGATTTTTCAGTGCGCTCGGCGGAGGATGTCCATATACGAGACGGCTGCCTGAGACTAGGATACCGGAAAGATAGCGTTACGCCAAGTTGTGCCGCTTCTAGTCTACCCACGCGAGTCAACAGCTCTTGTTCTGCGTCCGTCAGCGGGGCTGTCCAACTGGCGAGGAAGCTGAGCGCTGGGACCTTGCTCCAGTCGACTGCGGTATTGTTTTCCAGCTTGGATACGAACGGGTCGATGTACGCTTCATAGTCGTAGTCGTTAGCGTAGATTGCAGCGTGGCGAGAGAGATAGACTGCTCGGGACACTGAGCAACCCTGTGGAGACGACGGCGACGCCGCCGGGTCTTGGGGCTCGAAGTACGGGGCTACGCCGCCAAGATGTTCCAGAGGGTTGAATTTATATGTGGAATAGAGAGACGCGGCAGAACATGGTTGAAGGATTGGAAGAACGAGCGCACTGAGCCGAAGCAGGTCTCCAACGAATGACGATGTCATTGTGTTTGTCGTAGAATGCGCGGTATCAGATGGAAACCAGTTAAGGCTATGGAAGAGAGGCAGAGTCTTCTTTTTTATCCCTCCTCAGACCACCCCGGCATGATTGATCTAGGTTAGGTACTTGGACAACTGCTTGTCTCATTTTACATAATGGCCGATGACGATGAATGATGATGAGGAGGATCCAGGACCAGCGAATATTATGTTAGCGTCATTAGACATGGATTGGATAGGGATTCAGCGGCCACTAACGAGCCATCTTTTGTTCCTGGTTCTTGACAGACTGCTTTGCCTATTCGGCCCTGCATTAGTGTATGTATACTACCAAGTATGCTCCGATATACTGACCAATTAAACCCGAAGCTTCTATTAGGCGGTGGACTTGTCCTTGATCACTTTATGGAGTCCGAGCATCAAGTGTTTAACACACGACCACCTATACATCCATGCTTTTACATACAGATCTTATAAGGGGTATATATGGTATGTGATGCTATGGAAAACCTTCAGACAATTGTAACATCACATATCATTAGAACCCTACCCCTGTACGTTATAGACAAGATGAGTCTCATCGGATGAAATGAGTATATCTCGTGCCTGCTTTCATGATACTTTGATTGATGTTGGTAAAGAAACTAATTTCGTTAATCGTTATGCGCATAAACCTAGCTACCCCCTTCCGAACGTCGTAACTGAGCTTATATATCGGAATACAAAGCTCGGGGTTTCCTTAATCTACTCGGCTCGTTGTTGAATCTTCTCTCTCCGGGGTCGGAACGGTATCGCCTACCGCGATCACCATCTGCGTCATCATATTGCCGAGTCCGGCCGGTATTCGCGTACATACTATGATCACCGGGTCTCGCGGCGACTATCTCGTCTCGTATTTCAACCCGAGGCGGTTGCCGGCGTCTGGAGCCCCCGCTACCATGGCTAGCGCTTCGAGTTCTTCTCCGGTTTTCTATGTTGTCTGGCTTGTTTCCACCTAGAGCATGCTTAACTTCCTCTTTTGCTTCCTGTGCCCACGATTCTTTTTCGCCGTAAAGTATGCCCTTGGGCCAAAACCTGGAAGCGGCTAACGAAGCAGCTCCGACGGCACCGAGAAAAACTAATGATGTTTTTAATACGTCTTTCCTTTCATCTGAGTGTGATGGTGATCGAGACCGTTGGCGTCTCTGCTTGGTATTCGTGGAAGTGTTACACCGGGAACAGGACGATGAACGGGGACGTGGAGTCTGAGATGAAGATGGAGAGGAAGGCGTATAACGAGGCATGATGAACTACGACAACGGGCTGTTGTTATAATTATTGAAGTTTGATTTCCCCCTTTTTGAGGAACTAATGTCAGTATGGTTTGATAAATGTCAAGACAGGATGCTTATAAGTTCAAAGGGCTAGCGGCGAGCATATCCTACCCGGCATTATGTACGATCAGATGTTGTGCACCCGGGGAGGCTCCATAATATGATGTAGGAGGCAGACTAGCAGCCATATATAATACGTGATGAAGGCTTTAGGAGTCACGACAGAGTACCTAATATAGAGCAGATAGAACAGACGAATCAGATACGTTGCTATTTAAATGAAGGGTAAACATGTAGTACATCGCACGACAGTCAAAACAAGCTTTTAGAAGCTAGGGCAGTCGTTCATGTATATTATGACTGAGTGGCTTGGTAGGAGATTATTGAGCTTGTTTACGGATATATTAAGTACCCAACCCATATCAAGACACAATACAATAAATATCGTGCAATGGTGGATGGCGGCAGAGACGGAGCGGAGATTCCCGTAGTGACGGTATAAGTTATACATGTAGGGTGTTTCTACTGGGTACCTATGTTATAATGTTATTGGGTATGTTGGGGATATAGGACGTGTCTGTATTCAAGATGAAAGCTGACAAGGTAAGGCCGGATCTACGTAACTACTTGGAAGTCGATGTTGGAAGATTGAACATGTTACATTAGGTACCTAGGTAGTGTTATGTATAGGTGGTGACCTAAGGAGGAGAGAAATGAGGATGTAGAATGTACCTAATGGATGATGAGCATCGAAATAGCGAGCTAGACCCACTATACCTGGCTGACAAGAGGCGTTCAGCCACTAAAATTGCAGACCACCTCCAGGGCTGCACATTCCCGCACTGGGGAAGGTACGTGATAATAGGTACCTAGGTAGGTGACTACCCTAAAAGGCGACGCGACTTTACAAGCCGTTTTAGAAACTTTGACGCGACCTAATTAAGAAGTTGTTAATCTTAAACTTACCCTACCCTACCACCTTATCAGTCGCCTAACACTTTTAACTGTCAACTGTTGCTACAATGCTTTGCTTCCGTAAAGCACCTTGATTATGGATTCTTCTTCTCCGACGCCAGATAAACCGTTCGATCCCTCTAAGCCTTTTGGGGGGCTCGTTCTTTGCTGCACAAGTATCGAGGCAGACCTACGTGTAAGCGATTCTTGATCATGTACATTAATTACCTATATAGGCATTTATATTTATATATGCATTCTCGGTTGAATTTGTCTCGACTAATCGTGTCGTTGTTTAGACAGAAATTGCCCAGCGAACTATCGATCTAGGCGGTATCCACAAGTACGACCTTACGCCAGATGTAACCCATCTTATCGTCGGAGACTACGACACAGCTAAATATCGCCATGTCGCAAGGGAGAGGCCTGACATCAAGCCTATGGCGGCCGGCTGGGTTGATGCTGTGCGTGGGCTGTGGCTGGAAGACAAGGAGTTCGACTTTGCTGCCTTGGAGGAGGAGTGGAGGCTAAAGACTTTCGAAACAGGCGGTGGTATCCCCAAAAGTCTGATCGAGGAGCAAAGAGAAAAGACAAGACTGATATGCTGCTTAACTGGATTCGAGGATAGTAAGTTGTCCAGCTAATGAACCCGCGATTAGGGGCGCTGACAAGAAAAGATGATACCCGTGTCATGATAGAAGACAAGGTTAGAGCGAACGGCGGCGATTATATTGGCGATCTTTCTCGGCGCGTTACCCATCTTATCGTCTGCAAGCCTGAAGGAAAGAAGTATGTCGCCGCGCGGAAGTGGGGGATAAGAACCGTCTCTATCGAGTGGCTACACGACAGTATCGAGCGAGGTATGATACTTAATGAGGAGTGCTACGACCCAACATTACCTGCAGATGAACGGGGCAAAGGGGCCTGGATAAGAAGAGAGCTCAAACGAGGAGCCTCTCTGGGTAAGAGGATGCGTGACGGCGCGACTGCTCCTCCGGGGGACGAGAGTAGGAGGAAGCTCAGGAAAACTGCGAGTATGAAGCTTACCAGCCAAAGAGATAATCTTTGGGGTGATATTCTCGTTGGCCAATCGTCGACCGATCTGTCTAAGTCAGCTGCCACCATCGCAAGTGAGCGTCCGGCCAGTGTGCCCCCTATTCTTGCGGCCGACTTGGCGGATCCTGCCGTTGAAGATCAACAGTTATCCAACAGTCGCATTCAGCCTCTTGATAGCGGCGTATTTTCCTCATGTCGCTTTTATGTCCACGGTTTCCCTCGGAGCAAGCAGGAAGTTGTACGCCACCATATCTCGTCTCATGATGGGCAGATCTCAGAGTCTGTCGAGGATGCCGCTTCAACCCGTCATGGTGAGCCACCGGATCGGCGCTATCTCATCGTGCCTCAAACCTCCCAGCCCGATACTCACCCTCAAATTCCAGAAGGAATGCACATCGTTACCGAATTCTATATTGAGCGATGTGTCCATAATATGATCCTTTTTAAGCCGCGTGAACACGTGCTTGGACAACCTTTCCCGCGGTTTCCTATTGAGGATTTCCGTGATTTAATGATATGTACGTCCGGGTTTAGAAACGAGCAATTAAACCAGGTGGAAAAGGCCATTGTTCAACTTGGCGCCAAATATTCAGAGCGATTAAACGCCCGGTGTTCGATACTAGTATGCCCTTCTCTTGATGGCGTAAGGAAACAGAAGCTGGATTTTGCTGTGCTGTCCAAGATCCCCGTGGTCGATGCTGACTGGCTTTGGCAATGCATTACCACGGGTTGTTTAGTACCATGGGATAAATTCTTATTCACATCACTCGTTCAGCAGGTCGTTATGTTGCGCAATGCGCCTACGAATATGGCTAAGGGGAACATCCGAGGATCAAAATCAGACTTCAGGTCTAAGACCGAATTTAAGCCAAATCATCCAGCACCAGCGATAAAAAGTGGTATCGATACAACAGCTTTCGATGATGATATCCCAATGTCTGAGGGGGCGACAGCTCAGGAGCAGAAAACAGGCGAATCCAAATTCGAAACAGCACCTACTCATCAAACAGAAGGTACAGAAGGTACAGACCTTGAGCCTTCAACCACCACTACGGCACTCTCGGAGATGACCTCAAACACACTTAACAAGTCACCGTCACCACAGAAGGCTACACCGGTACCGCGCAAGTTGAAACGCTTCCCAACTGGAGGTGAAATAGGCGACTCTGAAAGCGGCGAAGATTCCGATGCTTCCGTTACCCACCTACGAGAGCACCAAGATACAGTAAAGGATGAGAAGGAAGAACGGAAGCAACAAGCTGAACGGGCAAAAGCAGCAGAGCGCGAAGAGATGTCCAAACGATTAAACTCTCTTATGGCTCGCGACGAAACGGTTCAAGAGAGCGACGGTATGAAGCCGCAACCGGCACCGCGGCAACAGCGCCGGAGGCGAGAGATCTTTGGTCGTGCGGCGAGTAATGTGTCGACGGCGTCAAGCACGAGTGTGGAATCGTTAACACATATGAGCAGTTCCAGATCTAATCTCAGAAGAGCCGAGTCTTCAGCATCCCGCTTGGACTCGATGCAGGGTACAAATACTACTTTCGGGTTTCTAGACAAGGTGATCATGCAGGGGAGCGGAAATAGCAGCCATGGGGCAGAGAATGGTGATAGCCCGCCTCGGGCCACGCAGCTAGAGTATGACAACCCCGAAGCCCGGCAGCATCGGGCGGCTGTTGTAGGTCGGATGATGGCGGATAGCAAGCAGAGCGATATAGATGGCAACGGGCAGAGCCAGGGAAAGGATATTTTAGTTCTCGCAAAGGAAGATGGCAAGTCAGATGGTAATGCGCAAAAGCCTTTGGCAAAAAGGACTACTAGGCGCCGGTGATCTCGTTCATACTCGGATCGAAAAACGAGGGTCAGGACTAATCGATGAACTTCTCGGCAGGGTATTAGCATCGCCAGATGAGGGTTGGATATGGACTTAACGTAGCACATCCGCAATAGTAGTGCGTTCTAGAGCAAGAGCTCATCTACGCGGAATGCCATGCTGTGGCTTATTTTACAGTAGCAACAGAGACGATGCATATGAATTTCATGTTAGTCGAAAGGGTGACGTGAAGTGAAACTCCTTGATTCCCTATCCTAAAAAAAAATTGTATATTTGCCTGTTCAACTGGGTATCGATAATATATCTCCCTTGCCCTACCCTGATCTTTCTAACTCCCAAGCAGAATGCTACTTACAGATTCTGTAAAGTGAATGGAGTACGTGTGATACATATTTCAGGTTGCAAAGCTAGGAAACCGGCCAGCTACCTAGCTCGTCGACTACAAGTAGGATTGCTTGCTTGGCATGTGTTTTTGTCTTCGTTTGACCAAGCCCCCCGTCTTCTCAATCCCCAATCTCTCGACTCATCTTCCCTACATTTCGCCTTCTACTATAAGGTCTCCACCCTTAACCTCACTTATCTGTCGCATAATTCTCTCAATTTAAATGTAAACATGCCTCTCTGGTAGACTCCTTATAGTGCGGCCTCGCTCAGCATGCTTAGCATAGCAGCTGCCGCGCCCCCGAGGCCCACGGCCCGTATCGTCTCGTCTCGAGCCTTCTTCTTGGAGGTACGGTCTTCTCGGGGCCGGTTGCTACTGCTGGTATAGTGGTCGTCATAATATTCGCGATCTCGCTCTTTCCTCGGAGCACTTGATGAATGGTATCGGTGACCGTGGCTCCGATGGCGGTGACGGTGCGGGTACTCAGCCCGGCCCTCGTCGCGGTCCCGGTTTGAGTAGTATTCTTTATCTCGGGTTCGGTCCCCCCTGTCTCTGTCACGATCGCGATCCCCATATCGTTCTTTTTCTCTCCCTCCTGCTGTGTACCTGTCCGAGCGATATCTCTTCTCACGATCACGATCACGATCACGATCACGGTCGTTTTCTCTATCTCTATCCCTATCCCTGTCTTTACTCCTCTCTCGATTTCTGTCTTTATCTCGCTCCCGACGCTCCCGTTCGCTCCGTCGATATGAAGGTAGGCTCCGCGGTAGAGAGCTGGAGCCTTCCTCAATAATTTGAGGGTTGGGATCGATTCGCACGTGAGGGTCATCGTTCTTATTCTTAAGAATAGGCTTCGGCTTTGTAGTGGCAGCTGGGCTAGTACCAGTGCCGGTGTCTTTGTCTTTGCCCTTGTCCTTCCCGATCGTAGAGGATGGCGGTGACACGATGAATGGGTAAGTCTTAGCACCCCTTTCGTTCCCGTCTGTGGCGTCGCCATTCACTCTGCCTTTAGCTTGAGAGTGCGCTTTGTCATCGCACTTGCGTGAGGTCGAGGGTATGGTAGAGCTGCGCCGATGAGCCTGTGAGCGGGAATGATGGTAATCATCTAGATACGAGCTGGAGCGTGGATATGATTGAGAGTACG